TCACGTCTTCCACATATGACCTTCTCCATGTCACCGTCGAACGCTCAACTCGTCATTTTCCCTTTGGATTCCACTCAAGGACCTATCGTGTGATTTCCCTAATCGGCCTTCTCAGTGTATGCCCAGTCCATCTCCACCTTCTTCTTCTGCATATTTGTTGGGTGATAGGTTCATGCTTCGTTAGTTCGTTACCAGAGTGGGTTCCTTGTTACTTATTCTTTCTGGCCATCCATCTGATCTTCAGTATCGAGTGAGCGTAGGTGGCAGGTGTTGATGATGGATGTCTGTAGTTTGTTGTAAATACTTTTGGTGACACGTCAAGTTTCTGAACCATCATATAGAAGCACTGACTTACTTGACTGGATTGGTGTTAAAAATCCGGATCTTGTTCTGTTCGCAATGAAAATCCATATTTCTGATGGATATAATACAGGTTATTACATTGTTGTTGAGGGTAGCAGAACTTTATCATCTCCAACTAACAAACACTTTGTTTGATTTACATTTTCTCCTAGTGTAACAAGAAAATCAATCAAATTATTAAAGGTTTTTTACTCAAATTATTTAAGTGTGTAATTTATTCATTTATTCATTGCATAAATAAAAGAAACTGGTATTTTTTTGCATGAGAAAAAATGTATGTAAACAGAAATTGTGTCATTGTTATTAATGTAAGATAAAAATTGTATTATTCTGTAAATAATGCATGAAAAAGGCGACTAATGAAATATATATATATATATATATATATATATATATATATGTATACATATATATATATATGTATATATATATATATATCCAAGTATTGTCAAGGTCATATATTGAATCAACCATACAGAAATCAATGTATTATTTATGTTCGGTTAAAAGTTTTAAAATGCTTCTTGTCTATATTGTTCATTGTCTGAAACATTCTGGCAGATGAAGAGATCAGTTATATAGGAACATAGATAGAAGTCAATAAATATTTTTTTTCACTCTCTTATACTTCTTGACCATTAGAGATCAGTACTAAATGTTGATTATCAAATGGATTATGATTTACTGATTTTTGACACCTATTCAATAACTATATTGTGTATCATGAAGGCAAGTTGTTAGATCGAAATTAATCTTCTGCTGCTTTTGTAGATGAATCAAATGTGTAAAGCAGTGCTTTAGCATTGCTTCAGAAGTATCCGTTGGATTACTACACTTATGAACTGAGTGTGGTGAAAAACAGTAGAAACTTATCTACAAAACTCTAAAAGCTGGACATTGTGATAAAATACGATTTTACTTTAATTTCTTTATTAGATGTATAACACAGTGAAACAGTATTACTTACTGGATAACATTTTGAACATAATTTATTGTCCATATTTATATCAAGTAACATCAGAAATATATAAAATCTTATTAGACGTTTCTCGACTTTGTAGAACTACATAAGATGGATGTCATAAACGTTAATCAGTAGATAGGATGAGAATGACAGCAGAACTGCTAGCTACTTTTCAACTATTCTGTTTTGTTTAAATACATTATTGAATACTACAACTGCTTTTCTTTATCATTATTATTATTAGTCCCTTGGGTTCCTAGTGGAACATAGGGCTTCAGTAGCACGCCTCCATTTCACTCTCTTCTCTGAAATCTTTTCAACCTCGCTCCACGACAGTCCACAACCTTTCATTCCTCCCTCACACCATCTCCTCCATGTCACCCTCACCTCGCACGTCCAACTCGTCGCTTCCCATCTGGATTCCACTCGAGTAACTGGCCTGATGCGTGATGTCCACAGTCGGCCTTCTCAGTGCATGCCCAATCTATCTCCACTTCCTTCCAGTGCATATTTGTTGCGTGATAGGTTCTTGGTTGGTTCGTTCCCAGAGCTCCTTGTTGCTTATTCTTTCTGGCCATCTGATCTTCAGTAGCGAGCCAGCGTAAGCACTTGTTGATGAATGTCTGTAGTTTGTTGGAAATCCCTTTCGTAACGCGCCAAGTCTTTGAGCCATACAGAAGCACTGACTTGACTGAGATTGGTGTTGAAAATCCGGATCTTGTTCCGCATGCTGAGTGCAGAACATCTCCACACTGGTTTCAGGCTAATGAACGCCTGTCTTGCTTTTCCGATTCTGACTTTGACATCCTCGTCTGTGCCGCCTGTAGTTGAAACAGTGCTGCCTGTCTAGATAGGTGAAGGAGGTTACTTCCTTTAAGTTTGCCCGTTGATGGTGACTGAAGTTTGTTGTTGTTGTTGGTGCGGTATCTTCATCACCTCTGTCTTCTCTATATTCACTTGAAGTCCCACCTTCGCTGCCTCTTCTGTCAACTTGTTAGTTCTCGCCTGTAGATCTTCAAGTTTGTGTGACATCAGGCACAAGTCATCGGCGAAATCCAAGTCTTCTAGGTTCTTTTCCGCAGTGCAGCGTATCCCCCTCTTCTTGCTGCCCACTGTTTGCTGCATGATCCAGTCTACCACAATCAGGAATATCATATTGCTTTTCTTACTGGCTGGAAAATGAATCGTTCAAAAGAAAGAAGTATCCACACTTGACTAGATGTTGTTTCTATTCAGTAATATGATTAACCATTTCATTTACAGTGTACAACTTATTTTGATAAGAAATACTGAAAAAAGTAAAAGACTGGTATGTAGGAAGGAATGTTTACTTTAATGATGGATCGTGGATAGCAGTGCAAACCAGTATGTACATTTCGTCCTATTTGGGACGCGTCAGCTGGATCTACCTGCTTCCCAGTGAGTGTTGTTCCCACCGGGATTCTGACTCGGGAGCGATCGCTTCCAACACCAGCGCAGTATCCACTACACCACCGAGCCACGATAGCCACTTCTTGTGCAACGGGTATAGTTTTTATATGATACCGTCGTTGATTGGACCGAATTGATCGGTCTCTATTGGCGTATGGGATCCTGTGTGGATGCCTCGATATTGCCAGTGTTCTAACCAACAACGGCATCATGTAAAAACCCTTATACTAAAAGCTATACCCGTCGCACAAGAAGTGACTATCGTGGCTTGGTGGTGTAGTGGATAACGCTCTCGCTCTTAAAGCGATCGCTCCCGAGTCCGAATCCTAGTGGGAACATCACTTACTGGGAAGCAGGTACATCCAGCTGACGAGTCCCAAATAGGACAAAATGCACATCCTGGATTCCACTGCTAGCCACGATCCATAATTAACATAATTAGAACACAGGCAATTTTGAGTCATCCGCACAGGAGTCCGCTCATATGCCAATAGAGACCGATCAATTCGGTCCAGTCAACGACGGTATCATATAAAAACAATTATACTAGTAATGTTTATTGTCCACAAGTGGGAGTAGTAGTCGTTAAATATGGTACACTTTGCACTAACCCAGTCATTTGCAAAATATGCTTCATTTCCTCTTCTGCTTCTCTCTTGATTTTCTCTTCATATGCCTTTGTCTTTTGAGTTTCTCTTGGCGGAATCCTTAACCCCTATTGCTAATTCCCTATGATTTCTGCTATCCTCTCAACCTATATTACTGATATCCATTCTCATCTGCAACGCCTACTACAATGTGAATTCCCGTTTATGAATAATTGTGTTATATATAATACCCTGAACTTTTTAGTAATCTGCAAAATAGATAAGATTTCAGACAATTGAAGATATAATTGCAGTATAATCGTAGTCATTTTGTGCCTGGTAAAATTTATATAGCTTGTATTTTTTTTCAGTACCCTTTAAGGTTTAACTAGAATTAATTACCGCTATTATCAAGTACTGTGAATCTTCATTAACATCTAATAAATAAGGTAAAGGCTTACTTGATTTATTGATCATGACCGATTATTGTGTCAGAAGTTGAACTATGTCCAGTGGAAATTGCGCTATTTCCTTTAGATTCACCATAAAATATTCACTGTTTGGCAACATTACAGAAAACAGTTAATCTGATAGCCTTATGTAAATTACAATAACTTCAAGTTTTAGGATAAAATTGTATTGCTGACAGTAGTGTAATGTGACGGTAGTGAGATGTTAATCATGGATAAACACAATCTGTATTACCACATTCTCTTCATAGCTAGAGTATACCATTAGCAAAGATTAGTCCTGAAGATCATGTACCCTATGTGTCTCAGGGAATTCTAGTGCCAGTTGTACACCTTTAACTCAATGCACTAAAATGAAACATTGTCGGAAAGATCGTGTGTCAAAAACTACACTCCACTGATAAGACCATGAATATTAGCTTAGTTTCTCCTTCAGACGCTTTGATAACAAAAACCCCTCATATGTTGTGGGTCTGTAGGAAGCGTTCATGACAGAAATAAACCAATTGTATTGCCTTGTATGTATGTATAATTACACATATTATTTGCTCACTATACCTAAAGTTTTGACTTAATAACTGTTGTTTGTAGTGTGTACTTATGTTGTGTCCGAACCTGAAATGATCGTGGACATAAGAGTTACCAGTCATTCACCATAGCCTAAGCCTCAGTAGTACTTTGGTCACAATAACCAGTACCTATTAACTATTGCTTTACCCCTCAAGAACAACTAGATCACGTGTTCTCCCTTTGAATATTATAGAGACTGAGTTTTCTTAATGAACTAAATTCACTTGAAGAAAAGTTGAAACCTGTTCAATACCGTAAACCAAATTTTTCTGAGTATTAAGTTACCAAACAGCACACAATTCCGATAAATTATCTACCAAAAAATTAGCCTAAAACTTCAGATGGCATGTAACACAACTATTCTCTGTCAGGGCCGATTCAAGAGTTAATTCAACGTACTGCTTATCTATGAGAACTTATTGGATTTTATCCTCTATAAAGTCATTCGATTTCAGCCCAAGTTTTGTTAGTGACCACCGTTGTGATGACTGTATGAGCGATGATATTACTTTCAAACGCGTTCCAACGTGAATCGGATTACACAAACGGATATCACCTGTGCTTGACCAGAATGTTACAGGACTTATCCTAACCAACACATGACAATGACAAACTCCACAGGATTCAAAAAGATGTAATTAATTAATTTGTTCACCGTCCAATGTATATAAACAAGAATTACTTTCAATATTAATGTGATATTAGTACATACAGTATTCATCAAGAAATTTGAATAAAGTTACACGGGGTATACAACACAAGCATTGAGCAATGTCACAAATTAAACCAAATTTCAGTGTGACGATGGTCAAGGCTTATTTATCTTCAATAGATGGAGAAAGCTTCAAGTCCATAAACTTGGGTATTGAGAATTACAACAAATTAATTATTTGACAAGGATATACTTTAATGTAAACTTGGGCGAATCCATGTAATTTAGAACATATTGTCTTAAATAAAGATCACTCAAAAAAATAGCATATATATATGAAAAAGACTCATCGAACTTTCTTCATCAGAGCAAAAAGAACGAGATTTACAGAAAAAAAATAAGTCCATTTGATTTCAAATCTTCTCTTCAGCTGCTAAAGTCTTAAGAATACATAAAATCAATGGAAACAGAACATACGTTCTCAGTTGAACAGCAGGAATACAGAAATTTGTTGAGTTTCCCATAAAAAGGAGAATAATCAGAGAATTCAAACCCAAAGGAAACAGTTTTTATCACTTAAAGTGATTGAATTATTTTCATTCTACAGGTAATGATTTCAAGAAATTTGAATATTAAGATTCCATCTAATAAGGTTGTATTTTATCAGTACCATATGAAATGAATATGATTGGGTGATTGATTAGATTAAGTAAGGCATAACGATTTCTAAGAAAAAGGTTGATTGATCAATAGACTACATTGTATTTTTGTATCGACTAAGAATAACACATTCTAAAACAACAGTATGAAGGTAAACCATTACCACGACTTAACATAAGTTAAAGGATTTGAAGACAGTAGTATACACCTATGTGGATTTGTACATTAAGGGAATAATTGCATGACAATGACAATAATTATATTATAAAAAAGAACAATAGAAGCTACGCAGTAATAAGGTGAGAAGTAAAGAGTAGGTCCCAGTTACTAACATTCAGTCGGCCTTAATTTTCGTGCTTTACGATCACTTCAGTAAAGCACATCTACAATCCTGAGAAAATTCATATTCTCTAGATCAGAAAATGTCTTTCTGATATAAACTTACTAAATTTACCATTAAGCTAATCAAATCATAGTCGATCATCTATGGGATTGATTGTCTACAAATGGACAAACGAGTATTCACTCATGTAGCTACAAAGTACTATATGTGGATGAAACCAATGACCTAACTCAACCAATTTATCCAAAGTATTTGAATTCCAACTTTCCGATATCCAGATGAAGTCATTCAGTTGAACAATATTCACCTTAACATTTTAGACTAGTAGTCAGTGGTTAAATGAATAGATTTCAATATGGTCATCCCGCCATCCTGGAAGTCTGAAAGGGGTAAGAATGACAGAATTCCAAAAGAATACGGCAGCATTGCATCTTTTCCTTCTCCTTAACTACGTATAAGCTTTTGCCTGTTTTTGGTTGGTTGTGGCTAGAAGAAGAATCCAGGATGCAAGTTTCGTCCCACTTGGGACTCGCCAGCTGGATGTGCCTGCACCCCAGTGTTGTTCCCACTGAGACTCGAACCTCGTACCCATCGCTCTAAACGCCAAGCCGTTATCCACTATGCCATGGAGGTCAAACAATCCAACCCAACAAAACAACGGAGAATAATAAGTATGTCAATAAATAGTAATAACTACTATACATTGTGCAAGAAGTGGCTATCGTTCCTCTGTTGAAAGTGGATAACGTCTTGGCGTTTGAAGAGATGGGTACGATTCTCCGTGGGAACAACATCACTCATTGGGGTGCAGGTACATCCAGTTGACGAGTCCCAACTAGGACGAAACGCGCGTTCTAGATTCTTTCGCTAGCCACAACCAACCATAACTAACATTCAGGCAATATCGAGGCATCCGCATAGGAGCCCATATGTCAATAGAGGTCGAACAATTCGACCCAACAAAACAACGGAGAATAACAAGTATGTCAATGGTAATTTTTCCTGTTTTGTTTTGAATGCTCGTATTTGGATTTAATTTATGAAGACAGTAACCATACCACCATCTTTCAGTACTGCCATGAAATGAATTCCTACAAACGCATAACTATTGAGCTATCCAAGTATATCGAGGGAATAAATACGGAGATATGATCGTTTTCGTCTGACAAGAGTTCTTCAGACATAAACTTCTTTTTTCAATTGTTCACGTTGTCAGAAAATAATACTCTTTTTAAAGATCGTTAACGTCGTATATATCCGTAGAAGATAACTTCACACATTGCATCTGTATATGTCACTGGAACGAAGAGCACTGTCAGGTGCATTAAAAAGTATGGAGACGACAGCGATCGAATACGAAAGTTCGTAATCCTAAGTTCAGAGCTGCACTGCTACAGACAAAGAGTAGAACAGCGTACACCAAGACATTCTATACTACACCTTAACAAACTGGAAAGTTTCAACAACTTGAAGGTTGCTAACATCAGTATGTTACTAAGCCTTCCACTACTTGAAGGTTGGTGCTATCAACCAGATGTACACAGTAAAAACCGGACTTCTTAACGAATACATAGTCCAATATGAGAAGTGAATTTACGTACAGCCGCCTATCAATCTTATAAAAGTGACAAAGATTTGAGAAGTGTAAAGCAAGCATAATAACCAAAGATTGAAGTCAAGAACTAAGCGTGCAGAAGTTGTGAGACGCACGCACCAATACACTTTATGGCCTAACTTTTTTAAAAAGAAAATAATACGTCTGCATCACCAACACATTTCCTACGCAGGAAACTCAGAGGACAATCAGGCAATCAGAAAGCTCTGTGGACTCCTACGAGGGGCTGTATGTAAGGTGTTTGGACCAGTCAAAACGGAACTACTATACTGACTCTGGAAAACATGAGTAAAACACATAACTACAGTATAATGTCCAAGTAAATTTGCTCAGGTCAGAAAGTGTAGCTGCAGAACACACGCCTAGAAAAATTCCTTACTTTCAGGATTCTGAATCACGACACAAAATATGTAAAAAATCGCGTTTAACACAAGGCACATAACCTAAGCAGACTGAGATAGGAAGAAATAACGAGATTACTCGATGATAGATGTTCACAGCTGATTCGTACGGATTTACCAACCTTTTCATATCACTACATGAGTGTTATCTCAACAAATTCTTTGATCAAGCTTAGTGGGTCCTAATAAATTCTTCCCAAAATGTTAGTCATAAAAGTATCAACCACTTCAATGTAAAGAAACTACATTACGCAACACAGACGCATCCTTACAACCAGTATATGACGGTGTATACTAGTTAAAATCTACGGATGATGCTAAAAAACACACTTGTGATAACGAAACCTCACTACATATCTCAACAACAGTCAATTACTCGGAAAGGAAGCAAAAAAAACATGTATCACAAGCTGTGATGAGTTCGAAAGACGTAAACTTCTTAGAGAAAGCAACATACAGCTTGTGTCTGGAAAGAATGCAAAAGACATCTGTTTGTATCATTCAGTGAATTACAGCTTTACATGACAGTAGATTAGTCATGTACATGAAAAAAATGACTGTTTCATCCAACCAAGGATTCAAATAACATTTCAAAAACACTCTAAAAGGAATCGTTCATCGCGAGTTAGTAGGAAATCCACACTTACACAGTGTACCTTCTTCACACTATAAACCTTACTCTATCCCACTTAGAATGAAACACTTTTCTGAATAACCTAACTGGCAGAATGGAAGACAAACACCAAAAGTAGTAAGAAAAAAACTTAAGCTACCTAGCTAAGACTGAATATGAAATAAGTTTCGATAAACTTCACTGAAAATTTGTAACAGTAAACAGAGTATTCCAGCTGCTTTTACTTTTTGATGAAACCTCATTTTTTTGACAGTTCCGTCGAGTTACACGGATAAGACACCAAAATACGCAGTAGTCGAGAACTGCCACCTTACACCAGCAACCAGAGCAAAACACAGTCAGACTTAATGGGGAAGTCCCAAGTCTTGGCCTGGTCACTCTCAACGTTCTTCCACCTTAGTTCTACTTCAGCTGATTCATACGAGAGGAAGGTGTAGGCTCGACCTATCCGAGCTACCCCAGTCGCTGGAGCTTCGTAACTATTCCTCTGACCTTGACATTACTCACAATGTGATACCACAATGCGCAAACAATGGCACGAAGATATTCATGATCGAAAACCGTTACATCGCTGTATATTCAACTTTCAACGGCCATTTCTCAGCGGACTGCTGGGCGGTATACTCGTCCTTTAACAGGTAATCCGATATCTCGCCAGTGAGCGCTAAAGATGATCTAAGTTGGCGAATTTCAAATGAGCTTTCTGTATCTCAACTGAGATTTCTCCAGCAACTAACCCATTTGGAATGATGCGAATTCCCAGTTAGGTGAGATGACTAGTGCATCCTACCATTTCACTCTTTGTCCTCAAAATATCAGTGACTCCAGGCCATTCATCTTACATGTGACGGATACGAAACGCATGTTGAGCATGCTCAAGACACTCAGAAGACCATGTATTTTCAGCGTCTACCTAGCAGGACAGTGTTCTCTGCGTACTCCAAGCCAACTAGATGCCCTCCTCAACGGAGTCAAATGCGGTCTCCAGGTCAAGAAATATACCAAGTACCGAGCCCACGTAAGTATGCCTACGTCCCATAACATGCCGACTCATTCTAGTCAAAGTCAGCCTGGTTTTCTCGAGTTCCAGTTAGGTGTTGAATAACCGTGGACACCAAGATCTTGGACACGATGTTAGTCCCTTATGGTTATCACAAGAAGACCTCTCCATTCGTGTACACTGGAATGGTCGATGAAGTCGACCTGACTGATGGGACTACCTGATTTCCACACACCACTTACTGTCTTTGTTATCCTACTCGATAATTCCCTACTTCCATCCTTGGAATCTCCGGGTGGCAAACCGCAAGTTTTAGCTACTTGGCATAGTTTTAGGTTTGGGTCAGCCTTCTCAACTCCGAGCACAGTTGGGGCACAGATACCTATGCCCCGTTGAAGTACGGGATGGATGCTAGGCAAATGAAGTGTTTTTTTCCAGTTGGTATTCATCATAAACTGACATCTCTAAAACCCCACAAACTCCCAAATTCAAATGAAGCGTTGTTCTCGGCCAGTTTAACAGGTGTCTTGCCTAACGTTTTAGTCGCCTGCCCTGAGTGGCTATCAGGGTTCGGTCGTCTACGGTTACGGCTTAACTAGGCATTAACCTTTTCTTGCCAGTGTTCCTGATGAGCCCAAATAACTGCCGGGCACTAACTAGTACTGATGCCTTCTCCACCTCTCGTTCTCGCCACCAAGCATACTTAGATAAACACTTACTAAAAGACAATTCGAACCACAGATACGATGGAAATAATACGAAATTCAGTTTTTTCAGCTAGAAATACTCCGAAAAGGTTGGTTCACACACTCTCTCATACAACTGGAGTAGTAGGTTTGCTTTAGTGTAGCAAATCAGAACAAAGTACAAAAAAACGAGAATGATTAAACAAACGAATCAAAATTTGATGAGTTCGGTTTAAAAAACAACGAATTGGACTTCAAAGTACGCAGAAAATCAACATGGGACATGGTACTATTGAGTAACGGTCCCAGTTGCTATACCTCGCATTAGCATAACAAGCGATAATGCACCGAGATGAAAGATAAAGAAAAGGGGAAGGCAGTCAAGTGGTGGAAAGTCATCAGAAGACAGAGAATGGTGAAACCTAGTTAGACGATTAAGACTATATGTACATACAGATGTGCCACCGATATCGATTTTGAGTCAGTTCACCGTCATCAGCCATTCGTTACTGTCATCACACTGACCCAAACCTGAAAGCCTACATTTCCACACACGACCTAGATAAATAGACTTCGAAGGGCTAAGGTGTTTCTGTCCGACCACCTCTAACCTTTTTCAAGGGCGGAGGTTTACAACCTTATCACCTGACTCTCATCTCCCCATGAAACTTCACACCTACGTCACTCACATGGTGACACCACGACATACGACCATTGCTACGAAAGCAACGGTGGTTGACCACTCGGACCTCACTCATGTACTCTGCCTCAAACGGTCATATTTCATATTCATATAGTGGAACAAAGCTAACTGCACTCGAACCCTAACGGACAATCAGATACCACGGTGGCTACGCTATAAATGGTGTCAGTCGGCGAAAGACCAGTCAACCTTTCGTATCCCCGCAGAGATTTCATCAACAACTGACCTCCTTGGACTGATTTCACTTCTCAGGGAAGTGGTCATTTTGCTCAAGCAAAAATGTATTGATACCAGGAGTATTCTTCAAACTGCATAGTTCTGAATGGCGAGGTATCACGAAGTACCTAACTCTGAAGAAGTATAATAGTAGTGATAAGACAATTCTTTATAAGAATTTGAAGCACAAACCAGCCAACTACGGATGTTAAAAATGCTGCATTGCAGGATAAGTAAGTACGGGTGGGGTGGAGACAAGTAAAAGTGAAGCTACCCGGAGCTTCACTATATGGCAACACTAGCGATTTATGGTCATAATAAAAGCTGTATATGAAGCAGAAGTATTGTGCAGAGCCACTAGCCGGATATTGAATGAGTGTCGACATTACCTGTATGACAAAAATGTAGGTGACAGAAAAATTAAAACCTGAAACCAAATGAATAGAATAGAGAACGACTGTTAGTAAGTGAACATGCTAACTACAAAAGTGTTACGGCAAGATTTCCAGTTGACAGTAATGCAGATGATGTTCTACAAGTTACAATCTTATCTCGTAAAAATCACGAACAACGATTGATTTGATCCACAAGGTCCTGAAACTTTGAATTTAGCCATTTACTACGGTTTCAAGAAATATCGCACAAGACTTGAAAGTAAGTTACTCATCGGAAAAATACAAAATTAACAGTCAACAAAAGATTCAAAAGAATGGCAGTTACATCGCTTAAAAATAATCTGGGATAGTTTGCAGTCATAAAACTGCATTCCAAATACAAGAAGGGTGTCATACACCGATCAAGGGTGAGTAATATACAAACACGTTCAAGTACATACATCGCCTTCGTAATTTAATGGCTGTTTAGAAATATAGTCTATACTTAGAATAACGATTACAACAGGTAGTGATCGCGTGTCACTTAGTAACCCTCCTCAACTTTGGATAACGCGAGTTACACGTTTTAATCGTGTATTTGCATAGCCTAGGCCTTTCGTTGTTTAGAAACATGACAAACGCACGTAACGCTACTCCCGATGAAAACCTGAGTCAAAACAGTTTAGAAATGATAGAATCGCTTAGAATATGCTGTCGGAAAGGTAATAACTGATTTCAAAATAAATAATAGCCAAAAAATTAGGAATAATAGCGATCTGGTTCAAATATAAAATTTATGTACCAAGAATCAAAGTTAGATGAAGTTAAACAAACAAATAGGTCACAGAGGTCATTTATATGGCGGTTTTGCTGAAACTGATGCGCAAATGTGAGTTTTCCGTCAACTGGCAGTTGTGAAGATCCTAAAAGCAAAGAATTAAATCAAAAATGGCTTACGATTAAAGCTTGTATAGCCATATCTACATTTTCAAGTTGAATCAAGGCCATCTTTTTATCCTTCCTATATAAGCAAGAATTGTTAGATCAAACAGTTAACTTACAACATAAATTTAAAGTCTGTAACATGATATCCTTTGGTTTCAAAAATCATTCTGACCTCTTCTTCTGTAATAGCAGATGGTATATTACTTAAATGCAACACATGATTGGGAGCGTAAATATTAGCAAAATTCTTAGAATTCGGTTTTCGAAATCGATGAAGTGGGCTATTTGTGTAGTCTTTGGTAAGTCCAACATTTGTATCCTCTTTCGGAAGTTGAACAATATTGAAGCGAGAAACAGCTATTTTCAAGGGTTTCCCATACAAAGGTTGTCCATTAAGATAATACAAAGCTAGGCAGAAATAAATATGCCAACACCAGTTAATCAGAACATACCTGTTAGGGCTTGTTGGGCATCTGAAAATTGCACAAGAGCAGTACTTTTTTTATTGAACATTATCTTCACTCGAGTAACATCACCATAGACACCTAGTTAACCAGAAAATCAAATCAAGTTATGCACTGTGTAAAGCATGATAGATTATATCTGGTGAGTGAAGGGAATGAACCCAGAAACAGTAAGAATAATGAGCTTATTACTTGTATTTTCACCTAAACATGTTTTAAAGGAAGGGAGTTTGAAATTTTTCAGTCTAAGAACGAATAAATAAATAAACCTACCGAAAAGTGTGAACAATGCATCGGGACAAACTTTCTAGCTCAGAAAACAGTAGGCAGAGAGAATCCAGATTTATAATTGTAATATAACCAAGGTAAGTACGTGAAAATACACGTACAAAGCGAATTATTTGTATGCATATGCATGAATGGAAATAAGTAATGGAGACCGAAACGTGGTAAAAATACATTTTAAGTTCATGTAGACACCAACGAAACACCAAATGATTGATTTGTACAGCGAGCATAAATTGTACCATTTCATAAGTGGATTAAGCACCATATCACAATGAAGTCGAACCGTATTCAGTCACATCGGAAGCAAATGACAGAGGATGGAGAAGAAAAAGGAAAACAAAGTAAAAGCGGTAAGTTAAAAAGCAAGTAGAAACGACAAGTCTTATCACAATGGATGAGACAATAACAACAAGGGACAGAAAAAGAAAATTTATCATATAATTTGTAAGAGAAATAAAACGAAAGGAAATAAGAAGACAAAAAATAAGAATAATTAACACATACCTCCTCGTTGAGATTTGATACTATCAACACAGTGCTGGTTCCAGTTTGCCCCAGATTATTTACGGATTGTTGAACTATGTTAGGCACAGTCTGCGCCTGATTTGGGATATTTGACAGCGCAGTACGAGTTGACAACGCTGCCGCGTTTAGAACGCCTCCTGGGGCTGAGTTTACAGCAGAATTCCCACCTTGAGCAGTCAGGGCCATGAAACTGGCAGTGGCAGCTGCCGCAGCAGGAGTTAGTGCAAGACCAGACTGCTGAGCTAGAAGAGTCAACTGGATAGCAAGTTCATTAATGCCTGCTGCTGAAGCTTGAGGGACGGTAGTGAAAGCTGCAGTTGGATTAGTTAGAGATAAACTCTGAACCATAGAAGGTTGAGATATTGCATTCGCATTAGTTGTTGATGTAGTTACTCCACCCGGAAGTGCCTGCAAACTATTCAGTTCATCTTCAGTAAGAGGTGACACTGTGTAGTCACGACATTTATCATTTTCACGGCGAACCTCCAAAGGTCCTCGAGTTTTCCAAAACTCCACATGAAGAGAACAACAACCAGTGTAAATATTCTGGCCATTGAGAAGCTAAAATATGGAATTTCATATCAAAATATTTTTAGACGGAAAAAAAAGACAGAACATAAGCTTTAAAATTGTAATAAGATATCTGAAGACACCAAAGCTGAGGACAGAAATTCTCAACCAAACTTGCTGCCAGAATATCTCAGCATAGCATTGAAAACTACTTTCAAGGATATCCGATTCATTGTTCATTAAGAATGTGTGATTTCAATGTAGAGTAAGATGCCTATAAATAGTGGTTGGTTTTGTGAAAATTGTATGTCACTGAAAATCAGCTATGACAACCTTGATTAGAAATGCTAAGAAGTCAATGGGCTTAAAATAGGAATTCAAAAACATGCGAAAAAGTAAAAGTGCGCCAAGGAACTAAAGTACTGGCATTAAAGAAATGAGATGGGACAGGAATGTTAAGGATTTCCAAATGTTCATGACAGCCAATCACGAAAAGAAACTTGATCAACTGGGATATGTGCAAATGATGTGGCTTACAAACTAAATGGAAGAATGACCAACATAATGGGAATTGTCTAGTTAGTTTTTCAGTGGATTTATTAGTAATGGACTTAATCGAGAAACGTAGCGTTAAAGGAGTTACATAGGGAAGTACATTTTCAGTCCTAAAATAAAATAAATTTGATAATAGAAGTATCAGTAGCATGTAGTTAAAATAAAATAATAACTAGGTGAAATTCAGCAAGGTGAGGAAAAAAATTTAATTCATAACATACAGCTAATAAGGATTCAATAATACAAAGAACATACCACCCCCACCCCCAAAAAAAGACAATTGAGGCAGATGCGGAAGTAATAAAAAACAGGATTTCGGTCACAGAAGTTTTTTCAAGTGTTGTAAGTGGTAGATTCATTCAACCCAAAATAATTTTGACTCACCAACATAGCAACGAATGCCTGAATATGGTTTTGGAACTCTAACAGGCACTGATACTGATTGTTGCGCAGGAAAATCAATACGCGCAAAATGGTCCCGAATCGATGAAATATCTGTAGGGTTATATCAGAATGAATGACAAATTACCTTATACAAAATAACATGATTAATCTGCTGTCCCATGATGTTGTCGATGACCACACGTAGCACAGTGTTAGGAATACCAGTTTGCGCACCAGGAAGATCCTGTTGGACGACACGATTGGCGTTCTTAACAGCGTTAACGATAGCATCGTTTTCTGAAATTAGTTCGAGATGCGAATGTGTAGAGAACTGGAAGATCAGATGTTTCCCATGTAGAGTAACAGGATATTTCAAATAATGAGCAACTAATTGTACAGCTTCCTCCAAAGTGTGCATTTCGATAAGGGCCTGATTGCTTCTTTTAGAAAGGACCATGTTCTTGAGAAGACCAAATGGTATTGCGAAAAGAGCTATTTCATTTTCAGTCGCATCGGATGGCATATTTCTGATATGAATGACACGTGATGGAGATGCTTCCAGTCGTTCGACACGCGACTACAAAAGTGAGCAATGGCTGAAGCATTTACCTTTTTAGTATCGACTGATTCCAGGTCCATTGAAGGGTGGCCGTTGCGATGTAGGTTTATGCTTGGTACACTCAAATCTCGCTAGGGAAACAAATAGTGCACTTATTGTCAAAACAAATAACAAGAGGTATATTAGTAGAACGGTGGTAAAATTAAAAAAGGAAAAGCCATGTCTAAAGTGACCCCCTTACATCTTAGTGCTCTAGACATTGCATGATAAGCAAGGAGATGCAGTTTTGAAATCCCTTACAGGATTCTTTTGAACAGAAGAGATGCATACTGAACAAGCTATATCCATGAGGAAGACTTTTGTTTCGCTGAGGCATATGGTCATAGCTGGGCAGTTACACTTGCAATCGTAAGTTACTTCAGGGTGATCATTACTGATAACTGTTTCCGGTTTCATTTTGGTATGTCGCTAGATTGCATCATTGTTCACGACGGTCTTTTGAAGAATATTTCAACACCCTTATGTTTGAAATGGTTGGTTTTTTTCACTGCTGTGGGAAACAGGGATCTGTTCACTGTCGAGAAAGACTTGTAGTTCGAAAACTGTAACAAATGGTAACACGAAGTGTATGAACACTCCGATGGATGTGTGAATACCGCCGTTTGTCAAAGCCTATCGCTATACGACCCGACGGATAGCCGCTACCCTTACGTAGTGGTCGGGGTTGCACATCATGACCTAACGAGCTATGCTGGTTGAAAGCTTGTTCTCTCGAGGTTCTACCATACCAGAAACGTCTGCCGGATAGTGGTTATACAAAGTTACCCTTAACAAGTTCTTAAATATAAAGGTGCATTATGGTGGCTGAGATCAGTCATCACTGGTTAGTGGCTATCCAAAATCACAGGACGTATATCCGACTACATCTGCCATAATGCAGGTCAACTGTTGTGGCATCGAAAAGGCAGTATGTGACCGGCCCTCTAGTAGATGTTCCCTGAGCTCTATGGCCACGCAGTAACCCTTCTTTTTTCCTATTTCCAAATAAAAAGCGTTTACTAGTTCCATAGACTTAACATCTGACGAAGTTGGCAGTCTCGTGAGGCATACACGTCCTTGATACACATAGAATCAACGAAAGCGGTTGCCACCCTGGACTTAGCACTGCTTTCCATAGGAACTTGCAAAAGTATCAGGTGTTCCAGACGGAACGAGTCTCAGTCTTTTTGTGGAGAATACAGAAGTCCGGAGATGCATCACACGTTTTTGGAAAAATTTAAACTAAAGGGGATACTTCATGAAAGTTAGTTACTACTTCCAAACGTCCAAACTGCTCTTCGTGGCGGCATTGACCAGCGGAGCTCAGATAAGCGCCTCCAAGAAAATCAAACCTACATTGGGCTATTATGTCAATACAAATGGTCAGATAATGACCAAACTAGTACTGTCTAAGGAAATAGCCAAAGGAAAATTCCACTAAATACCTCAGGCAGATAGATGAGTGGGTAAACACTTCCGTAAGTGGGAAACTAATAACTGGAATGCTAAGCTTGTAACGTAGAAAATTCGGCTTTTCCAACTATTTAGGGAATCACGTAGGCGACACGATCATCATTGGATCCTTTATTTAAAGAATTCTCCCTGAGAATATCTCCACTGATTAAAAAATCTGGACAGTGAAAAGATGGAAAAACAGTGAAATCAGTAGTGCACATAGACTAAGTGACTCCATTTTATCATTTACACTGAACTGACTACTTGAGAACAAACTTAAAAAGGTTCTGGTTAAATTAGAAACTAGGCACAATAGTGGGAAGAAGAATTAAGGTGAGTGGATTTTCTCATAGGTAAGTCTTAGGAGGCGATGCCACCGAGATCTACACAAATAAGTCATGTAACAAAAAGTCTGAAGGTATTGTACACATCCACATAGCATTAGAGGTTGAAACACTAGTAGATGAACTATGTCCAGTCATTGTGATTGTTAGTGGGGTTACATTCGTTTCTGACCCCAAACTGACATCCTATTTGTCGGGACTTAGTATCTAAGCACAGACAGAGATTGTGCTAGTGGTCAGTAGCATGGTACTCCACAACAGCAAGTTTCTACAGTTATGACTTGAAACATTGTCACTCATTAGTACATTCTGATAAAGTGTACAATGGTATGCATAAGTCCTTTACGTGACAAACTAGGGCGTATGCACATCACAACTGCAAAGTTAAATAATCACTGGCACAGAACCCCACCCGTACTTGTGCAGGATATAGGTATCTGTGCCCCAACTGTGCTCGGAGTTGAGAAGGCTGACCCAAACCTAAAACTATGCCAAGTAGCTAAAACTTGCGGTTTGCCACCCGGAGATTCCAAGGATGGAAGTAGGGAATTATCGAGTAGGATAACAAAGACAGTAAGTGGTGTGTGGAAATCAGGTAGTCCCATCAGTCAGGTCGACTTCATCGACCATTCCAGTGTACACGAATGGAGAGGTCTTCTTGTGATAACCATAAGGGACTAACATCGTGTCCAAGATCTTGGTGTCCACGGTTATTCAACACCTAACTGGAACTCGAGAAAACCAGGCTGACTTTGACTAGAATGAGTCGGCATGTTATGGGACGTAGGCATACTTACGTGGGCTCGGTACTTGGTATATTTCTTGACCTGGAGACCGCATTTGACTCCGTTGAGGAGGGCATCTAGTTGGCTTGGAGTACGCAGAGAACACTGTCCTGCTAGGTAGACGCTGAAAATACATGGTCTTCTGAGTGTCTTGAGCATGCTCAACATGCGTTTCGTATCCGTCACATGTAAGATGAATGGCCTGGAGTCACTGATATTTTGAGGACAAAGAGTGAAATGGTAGGATGCACTAGTCATCTCACCTAACTGGGAATTCGCATCATTCCAAATGGGTTAGTTGCTGGAGAAATCTCAGTTGAGATACAGAAAGCTCATTTGAAATTCGCCAACTTAGATCATCTTTAGCGCTCACTGGCGAGATATCGGATTACCTGTTAAAGGACGAGTATACCGCCCAGCAGTCCGCTGAGAAATGGCCGCAGTAAGTGGGAGATACGAAGAGATTAGGACTGACTGACAAAATCAACGTAGAACCGCACATAAGTGGATCAGTTCAAGTTGTCACATTACAGTGTAGTACACAAAGAACAGGTGGATAGAAAGGAGTGAAATCAAAGTAGATAGTGTGAGAAAATAAACAACCTGAAGATAAATGTTAGTGCGAATATTCAAGTTTCGGAAGACGCCACGGAGTGAATACATCTGCGCCACTGTGACCGATTTCCAGCTGTCTTCAACCACTGATTCTTTTCATCTCGAGGAACCCAGCCACCCAGTCTACATCTTCCCACGTCTCAGACAAACAGTTAGGGACTTTATTGACTGGCGCCAGATCTCGGTCTGACCACAATGAACCCTCTTCCAGTCTAATCCAACTTCCCCTAGAAGCGCATGGTGTGGTAGGCGATGGCTCGGCAAACGCAGTACATGTCCAAGCCATCTCAGATGATGAAGGTTGACTACCTCACCGACCGACTTATTTATTGCCTAGTGCCCTCCGCCTGACCTCAACACTGCATACATGGTGATTTGACCAAACGCGAGCGATGCTGCAAAGAGACTATGGGTTTTTGACCATAGGTGTGGTATTGCTTGCGTATTGTGGGATCACCGTGTGAGCAATGTCAACGTTAGACTAGGAGTGCCAGGCAAGCCGGTCGATAAGGTTACCAATCTTCAGCGACAGGTGGCTCAGACATATCGAACCACCCTCTATGTGGAATCCCAGTTGAAGTAGAACAGGGGTAGGAGAACGCTGAGTAACCAGACCAAGACGTAGAACCTATCCATAAGGTCTATTATTGTTGGTCGGAATCATGTAGGGAGATGAAGGTTGCCTTGCCTGGGTCTTTGAGATAAAAAGGATCAATTATTGCAGTCTCTGTGACATGGTTGAAAATCGTTCACAGTGGTGAAGTAAGCACGCTTAGTCATCTTTGAAGTTCTGAATATTTCCACTCACCTTCAACTTATTCTTGTTCGTTTTACACAGTTTGTCTACCGTATAATTTGCAATACGCTTGTTCTTGTCATGCTGTTGTGCAGTGTTACAATTTGCGCGAGGTTTCACACAAGTTTCTCTAGCCTAGATGTAAAACGTATACAGCGCTCCCGTTGGGATAGTTACGCTGTTCTTGAAACCTGGCCTCTTAAAGCTGAGGATATCCGACCACTATGTACTCCATCACCACTGTCCTTACAGGGTTACTAGCATTCAACGGAAACACTTCCAAGTAATTTTGAGGTTAGGCTGCTTTTGAGTGTGACGGCATTCGTTGAGTGAAATCAGCTTGAAACCCTGGTTTTGAACCATATCATCAGGACCCACCAACCGCTGGTTATTAGAGTCCTGAAGACTCTCAAGTGACAGGTTTACATATCTTCACACAGCTCAAAACACTAGTTAACGTCATTCGTGGACCGGTTTGACGTCTGGCACACATCAATGCTCTTGCAACGCCAGCCTACTTTGGCTAACCTGAAAAGCGGAGGTAGGTTGTGACCCAGCATGCGCAACGCAAATTCGATCTTACCCGGTCGGCAAATGGTTCACAACCTCCTCAAGTGACTTTTCCAGTACTTTGCATCTAAACCCAGTATCGTTCAGTGATTCCACGATACGCAAACCTAAGGTATCTTCAATCAAAACCTGTGAACTATTTCAAATATTTCAAGGACCCTATTTCAGTCCTGTAAAAAGACCGAGAAGAAGGCTGCGCAGTATTCTCGTCTCTAAGTATGAAGTCATTTGTCTCGCAAGGAACATAGGTGGTGCGAAGTTGTGAATACAAAATGGATTGAGATTCCGTCAGCAATCAACCCGCTCCGGTTGATACAGCTACACAACTAGATGTAGTTGGTTAATCCATCCTACTTTACTCCCACTGCCTACTTTGGGGGTTGATGCAGACACTACTTGGACGACCGGCAGTTATCAAGCTACTGAAAGACCCAAGGCGTTCTAAAATACGTCAGAGTAGATTTGGGATAGTAAAGCTTGGTTTTAGATCCGGTATTTTGCCTGGAACAAAACCTCTTAATGGCAAGAAAAGACAGATCTGCAAATGCACGTAGAAAAGCAGTGTTCATAAATCACAATAAAGCCTTTTATGGGATATCTGACTCAGCGCTTACGACGAACCCCGTAAATTAGAATCAATCAGGACCAAATGATATTGTTAGGATCACAGCAACAGATAGGGTGAAACATACCGTGCTAATGCAGTAGCACATCGAAAACACAAATTTAGTAAAGACCGACGGATACGAACTAAGCTGGGTATGGACAACGGGTAATTCACCCACTCCTTTATTATTGCTGCAAGGTGACTACTTAACTCCATAATACAGTCATAAGAAGGACAGATGCTGATATTTACCTAGATTTCCAGAAAGTCCTTAATGTGTGTATTGTGCAAACGGTAACTTCTCAAGGTTTCATCTACATGAGTAAAATTTTACTGACGCTGTTTAGTGAGCAAAATCAATTGCACCCTTTTTGGTGATGGGATTTAAAAACTGGCCATACACATCGACCACAAATATAAAAAAGAATTTAGTTACTCAATTTTAACACATCGATTAGTTGGTATGTGACTTACTTTACGTTTATTAGGCTGAAAAATAGGAAAAGAGTACATTTAGTAAGTGCAAACCATAACACTCCAGCTGGTAATCACAGAACAGGAACTCACCATAGATAGCGAGCATAGAACACCAGACATGGCGTCCAGGCGCCTTAAAACAGCGTAATTGACGAATAAGTGTAGACAAACACATCCAATATCCAATGTCTTTTTAACGAGCTTGTGTAAACCAGTTGATTTCTTCGTGCTCGCTTCTTGGTCTTGCGGAACGGCTCCAGATCTTCGGCGGATTCCGATGCAGTAGGTCCAGCTACTCGTCTGCCATAGCTCTGACTTACAGAACAGGAAGTGTTGGTTTGTTTGCCTTGGACTGTGGTGCAGTTGGCTTCTTCAGGTGTCGAGTTGCCAGATAGTTATTAGGACTTGTCGCTAAAGAGGGTAAGGGACAGTAAAGAGAAGACCTAGAAAGTGTTTGTGTAAAAGAAAAGAGCAAAGGTGAACTGATGGAGTAATCTACCACACCCAAGTAAGGTGAGTAGGGGTGCAAAGGTATGAAGAACTTAGGTAATTGAGGCTAACTCATGGCAAGTGAAAGGGGTGAAAAGGGCTTAAATGGCCACAATAGAAAGAAAACTGGTTGGGGTGGCTTGACATCACTTCGTGTTCCAGCTATGCTTGGTAGACCACTAGTCTCCGCATTACTGTCTAGCCTCTTCTTGAAGCTTTCGACAGTTGGGGTGGAGACCACCTCTGATGGTAGTGCGTTCCAGTACCCACAGACATCAAACATCAATACCGCATAAGGCAACACTTTACTCATAATACATGTTTTTAGACTGCTTTATTCATTTGTGCGCTTGTTAATTATACATATTAGCACATTCCATGAAATGTAGACCTAATTTTCTTCGGCTTCAGAATGTATGGTCCCATCATCTGGGCATGACCTCACTTTTAAGTATAACAGCTTTCTGAGTGTGAGCGCACCTCGATGTCCTTATGAAGATCCAGACAAGGCAATTGGCCTTCACGTTCTCCACCTTTCAGATTGCGCTTATCTATAGGAGAATCATCATCTTTAGCTCTTAATCGAACATCAACAAACGGCCAGGGATACATCATATCAGAAGTAACAGATGAAGGCCGTGTTTGTATTCCTATCATCTTATAACTTTTTATGGTGCATATCTGTTGAATTTTTCGTGCTAGCTTACTGGGACGGGTATGACCACGTGGCTTCCAGCGCAATCAATCCAGGCAGTGTGTGAGTATGTACATGGAGCATACAGTTGGCAACACCTACGATATTTGTGGGACACTTCTAATCTCAGCTCTGACCTGCAATTACCCAGGAGTTGCAGCAGGTTATGACTTGAAGACCACACAGCACTGACGACTGGCCATAGCCCAAAGTTTCAAGGGACTGGCATTACGCAGGAAGTTTACAAAATAAGCCATGGTGTGTTCACCACCTTATGCACATCTTAAGTTAGATCTTAACTAGGAAACCGTGTACAGGTGGCAGACTATCGTATGAAAGGTGAATGAGACCTAAAAAGAGTTCAGAGGGCAGCCGCTCGCATGATTTCTGTTATGGTTACCTTGATCTGCAAAGAATGAATTGAGAAGCTGAATCTGTCCCCTTTATTCTACCGCAGACAGAGGAGAGGCCTAAGCACGCGATACAGAATTTGGAGAAATTAGTTTGTTCCTGATCTGTCTTATCTCCTCCCCACTGGGTTGGAATAGCTCAGAGGATCTAGCAGGAAGATACTGAAGCAAAGGACGGGCATAGTCTCCTTGCAGCTCCGATTCTCGCATCGAGTTACTGACTTACGGGCCCGGCTTCCAGGAGGATTAAGGTCTGAGCCGTCAATTAACTCGTTTAAACGAGAACTGGAAAAGGGTAGACCTCCTTTGAACATGGATTAATATGGCTTTATAGCCTTCTACCCTCAAACTACAAATCCACATCTCAATTCATTTCCTTTAGCTCGGAAGAATATTATTCACTGGTGTCGCTTAAGCTAAGGGCGAATGCACAACATATTCTAGGATACAGGTGCTCCTAGTTTCTTCGAGTTTCGTGTCACTATGTGGTCATTCAGACTGGTGGAAAATAAGTAAGATCAGTGAGTATGTGGTGCCACAAAAATGAGGGAATGTTCAGGTCCGGTTATATTAACATTAGTACCTTTTCAGAAAGACATTGTGCAGAAATGCACATGGTGTGAAACAACTGTACTGGCGCCCTAAAAATCTGGGTGTCATTTTCTTGCTCTCATACTATGGTATACTTTCTATGGACCTAAACACCAAGTTTTAGGAGAAATGAAGAGATGGTTGGGCAAACCTACGTTATGTAGTTATCCTGCAGTGGCATAAGCGGATTCTGGTGGTATCCCAAGTTTATTTAATGAGTAAGCATTTTGATTACTGCATTATCTAAATGTTCACTGTCTTTCGTCTTTATTTATTATGCTTAAATAATTCCGTCGGCTACGGACTCTTGACCTACCTTTTTTGGTGGTATAGTTAGATTTGTAAGTTCCTTTTGTTTAACTACAGTGCGGCCGTCTGTCATGTTGACGCGTCACTGCAACAGACTCCACTGGACCCAGAAATCTGCCTGCCGACGGTTTGTAACCATAAGTAGAAGATTACCTTAAATGGTCCTATAAGTCAGGTTTATTAAAGAACTTACGTGATTACAAAACACCTAATTACTTTAGTTACTACAATTGATTGAGAAGCGTACAGTTCGCTAGGTGGTCTTGCATTTTCTGAGAAGCAAGTTATTTCGCAATATGAGGTCTACCAACGGATCAACTTCAAGTGACGTTTTTGATACCTACTAGTCGGCTCAATTTATTGAACTTGTCCGTGCTTCTCATTGAAGCCTCCTAGATTTATTTTTCACCTGCAAACATAAGGGTTGGGTGTGGCTTCATTAACCAGTTTCTTACTGCACTGTATGGTCGTTTGATGGCCGGTATCAATATTCTGAAGCCTAGGATTAACGCTATCCTCCTGAAGCGTTGACTGATTTCAAATGGCTCATGAGAAAAAGTCGAGTAAGAACCAGACAAGTTGGTTAAAAGCAGCATATTTGTACCAGTTGAGTCCTCAAACTGGACTACTTTTACCGTGGATGTATTTGGGGCATGTGTTGTCCTCATGATGTACCTTAGATTCCAGCGATTTGAAGCCTCGCATGTTTTATCACACTCTACTGAGTCGGGCACCGCAGCCGACAAATACTTAATCTCGGAGACAGTGGCTAGGCAACTGGAAGTTCTACGTCCAGTTCACCGCTAACTCCATATAAATATTGCCCCCTCTCCGATGTTCGCAGTCGCAACTGGCATGGCAGCAACACCATGAAGACACTTTGCAAAGCATTCTGAGATAAGTGGTCTAATCAGCGCTAGGTATCGCATGTACCTGCGCAGTCCTTTGTGTTCAGTTCTGTTGGAAGTTTGTAGATCAAGTTTTGGAGTGTGGCCACGACGTAAAATGGCCTGACATGACGGCGCACTGTATTTCGATGTTGGTTAACATGAGTTATTCAACGGAAATCCTTGGATCTAGGTTTTGGACTTCTTGGCACTTTATAAGCAAGGCACATCTGCAACCATGAGGGGATGTCACTTTCCACTAAATGTGGATTCACTCAATAGCCCATTGGTTAGGTTTCTGAATTCAGCGCTGGGTGACGCAGGCTCAAATCACCGAGGGAACAACTTTCTCTTGGTTTTAGATGCGCCTTGCTGGAGAGTGACAACATGTACGGAACCCAAAAATAGAGCCTCTTTCCGCCCCCCCATCTAAAGCAGTGCAGTATCTGAATAATCAGGCTTTCCTGGGGACATAGGAGAGCTCTTCTTGCAGGGGTCATCCAGGCCAATTTGTGTAAACCCTCTTGAAGCCAACTCGATGTCCAATTATGGGGTGGGTTTGGGTATAGTGAAAACTGACTGAACGTCTGTTTTAACAACTTTTTCCCTTCAACTGTTTCGGAGGTATACGTACCACCAAAAAGCTGCTTCTAACAGGGAAGAGAGTTAACTGCAAGCTCCGTCTGTTCCCCCACCAAACGCTTAGAACCAATGAGAAAAAAGTGAGGCTGTTCGTACTACAGATGCTTTTTCGACGAGCACAGCTGCAGTACTAGAGGAATATGAACAATCTGTTATCTTTATTCCGAGATGGTTTGAAGAGGGTTTTTCTCGACTTCGGAAAGAATCACTTGTGGTTGTTTGGTCAGTAAGGCATGTTCAGGGGTAATCATTGATTAAGAGACCTCAACCGGACATCGAACTTTGTTTACCTAACAGATGAATTTTTAAATGCATCATCTTTTGCTTGATTCAGTAATGGCGATTGCAAGTGGGGGCTTACTATCATAATCTTCCTTCATATTTCTGATTATCTTCACCTCAGTGCCGGTTTTAGCTTTAAATTAGTACATCGCCACGGGTAAGATAAACGAAAAGCACCCAGGAAATTCTTCCACTTTTATCGTGATTTCACCTGTTAGGACTACACCGACATTTTCTGGGGGTGGCCGGAATCTTTCTGATGACCCTGCAGTTCACCTGGTAGAAAATATGCCTTGTCACCAGACACCATTCGTTGGGGTATGCAAACGGCTTTTTACATTCTCAATCCTATCCCGAATGCGCAAGAAGGCGTGATACCTTAAAGCTAGCGCGAAAGCCCTAATAATAGCTTTGCAAGTTTTCTTTAAGACATTGAGTCTTCTTGTGCATTCGGAAGAGGATTGAGGTTATTACAGTGAGTCCTCTGTTTGGCAGTAACTCATGCATGGAATGCATCCTCGCAAACTAGTGCCATAAATAATCCCCCCACCACAAGCTGCATTAAGAATCAGTTGTATGACCAGTGGCATGAACTCAGAAGTGTGGCAGGTTTCAATCCTGTAACTACTGTGATTGAGAAAGCTGAATAATCTGGCTTTCCCCAATCTACTGATTAATGTATTCAGCTTCAACCCGATTGATCCTGAAGTCTTATCTAAGCGAGAGAACCTAAATGACGTCATTTCTTCGGGGATCATTAAACGTGTATGAAAACACAATAACCTGGTTCTTTAGAACATCCCGGGTGAAAGGCCACTGAAATCTATTGGCTTATGTCTTCTCAGAGC